TGCAAGGAAGAAGAGGGGCTGGGATGATATTGGGGCTGTAGGGGAGAAAAGAGGGCGGTGTAAGGAAGAAATCGGGAAAGGGTCAATGGGAAGGAGTAAGCGATTTAAAAAAAAGGGAGGGGTGAGTCGATGGGAGCGGGTAAGAGAGCAGAGGTGGAGATGGTTCCGGGTTTGTTGAAGGGTCAAGGTTTGTGAGGAAGAGAGAAATAAGGTCTTTGCTGACGAATGTTAGGCGAGAGATGTGATGATGAGGTGAAAAAGGATAAGGTGAACGATGAGAGGAGTGGATATTTTTAACGAGTAAAGGATGTTGTTGTGGGACGGGTGGAAGAGGCAGGAGTGTATGGGGTGTGAAGGTGAATGATGGAAGAGGAGGGGAGGTGTTAGAGGTAATATAGAGTTGAGGAGAGGATAGGGGAGGGGAAGGATATTGTGTTTGCAGGGATATGTATAAGTGGGAGATCTTCTTTTTGGGGTAGGAAGAAACAATTCAGAAGCTTTATTCAATTGTCCATTTTTTGCCAGTTTATTTTGTTGGAATAGAAGCATTTTGATAAGTGACCGTCCGATGCCCAGTTAAATAATGGGACCAAATATACCCCCCCCCCCCAAACAAAAAAAAACAACAACAAAAAAACACAAAAAAACAAATAACAAAACACAAGAAAAGATCATCAGACTAACAAAAAAACAACAACAACAAAAAACCAAAAACGAAAAGGGAAACACTTAGCACCTAAGGGTTCACAAAAGTCAGCAAAGTATCCGAAGCAGTAAAAGAAATGAGTGCTTTTCTGGAAGCCGAGAATGTTTCTTTTAAGTGTATCTGGGGTCTGCTGCTAGGATAATACCATAGATCGTAAAGCGCATTGAGCTTGGCTTTGAGCGGGGGTAATTCACTAAACAAAATGCTGTTTTTTTTATTAGTATGAGCGTGTTGTGTTGTTCCATGACGCTGGACAAAGTAATGTTGCAAAAATAACGTGTGTTGTGTTTAACTTTATTATTCCTCCGAACTGTTCTGCGGAGAGAGAGAGAGAGAGAGAGAGAGAGAGAGAGAGAGAGAGAGAGAGAGAGAGAGAGAGAGAGAGAGAGAGAGCA